GTAGGAAATGCAAATATAACAGATGTAAATATAATACGAAAGAAAATCTGTTGTTTGTTACATCAATGATACATCACATTACAAGATTTTTTTCCCGTTACACTGTCTCAAAAACAGCTGTCTTACGGATCGTTTTGAGTCCCTAAAGATATCTTTTTGCGGACTAGTCCGTAAAATTTTACGGACTCGAATCATATGGTTATGCCAAAGCTTATCTAAAAAACAATTCAGCTGCTCTGATCCTTTAAAATGCTTCAACAGTATATAAACAAAGTTTGTTGATTTTTTTGGTAAAGTAAACGTTCCTTTTTAATCAAACTGTTTTGGCTATATTTTGTATTTTCTGCTATAATATATGACAATGCAATGAAAAATATTGTTCGTAACTCGTCCTAAAATGATTTTTTGTGACTTAATCGAATTTCCGGACTAGGCAAAGCCTCGTCCGTAAAACACGATATCGTCCCAAAAAAGCCTACTTTAGGGACTAGTAACGAAATCTACTATTATAATGTCTTAAGTTTACCACACTTGTCTTGTAACAGTACTAAATCACCGCCTAGCCCCCGTGAAATGAATATTTTTCAATACAGTACATAAGTTAAATATCAAATACTCCTGCCGCAGCAAACCTGCAAACTAAGCGAATTTCCATATACCAGGCTGGATTTCTACGAAAATATTCCCTAAAAATTGTTAGATTTATTTTCTATTTAAATAACATTAATTTTAAAGAGTACTTAGGTTTGCTGCTACAGGAAAGGTATTGAGGTACTTTTTTAAATTGAAATGTTGATAGCTTAGAATGAAATAAACAAAATTGATTGAAATATATCCATAAACAAGCAAACTACAAAAGCTTTTTATCCTCCATAAGAATATGAGAGATAGGGGACGTACTCCAATGTTGTTAAGCTTTTCTGGCAATAAATAATAAGAGACCATATCAAAGAAGACTCCAGAGACGGATGCTTTAATGCTTTTACAACCCTATCGATGATTGAAAACATTCCATTGACAGCAGACTTTAACGAAGGCCTCTGGGGACATAAAAATGGAAAAGTAAATCGGTCCCGGGCTTAGGTCTTACTTTGCATGATGATTTAATGCACCTCCGCTCCAGACACGGACCCCATTGTTGAACAAACAACAGACAACATTGTTGCTGCTCGCCCTGTTGGACAATACCGGCAGTATGCCACAGTAATTATTCAATCATTAACTTCGCAGTGTTGCTCCACCGTCCCGGGGACATTTCGACATTTCTTCACGACATTTTCCTAGACAGTTTCACAATTAAACAACAGTCAGAGCCTGAGACACCTCCTGTGCAACTGGTTCACACCGGCTTGCATATTGCAATTGACTATATAACCACATATAGTAAATGATATTGCTATTCGTAGTCGCTAAATATAATAATCTCATCTTCATTCATACTTGGCTTAAAATACCTACTCTGTATGGTCGCCATTTCATTGAAAAGTATTAAAAGTAAAAGTATTAATACAACTCTTGATTTATATGAATGATTTCTTAATTTGTATATCTTTGATCAACCCCTTTAGTTGCTAAAACCTTTAATAATTGTTTACTGTGACAATTAAATTATTCAACAAGATAAAGATTGACATCTCCATGTTTTCCATGTTTTAAGAACGTAACAATTTTAAGTTTATCATAACAACTATCGGAGGGGATTTTAGGTTGGTTATAACATATTTGTAAATCTATAAATTAAATTTTAACTAGTTGTGAAAACAGGGGTATTAAATGGAATTAGTTTTTCGATGTGAGGAAATAAAAGTCCCCTTAGATAACGGTGTAGTGATCAACCCTACCATACATATTATTTTTAATTCAACTAATATCTTGAGAGAGTATTACTGTGATTAATATGATTATTATCATTATAAATTGAGATGAGGGCATCACCTAGGTGTGTATTTTAACTTAAATTAATATGAGTGATGGTCAGGATAAGTAGAATGGATTTATAATCTGTGTAGCTTTGTTTACTGACTAAGATCAGCCGATTAGCCAGGATCATGTATTTGCAATATTTTGATTGCTAGACGAGCACTATAACTAAGTGGTTATAGTGGCTGGGTAGCTAAGTAGCTATTGCCAATACACAATTCAACAATGCGCACCTAAGGTAATCAGACAAAACATCACTCTGAGTATGGATTTTATAGGCATTAAATTTGTAATACATTATGTCATATTTAGGCGACTCCATTGTATAACTCACACCCATGGCACAGGAGCACAGGCGGCGACCCAACAATACCGGTGGATAATTGTGAAATTTTCTCGTAAAATATCAATATATTTAGTATTTAGATATGGTCTATTCTATTAGATCGTGAAATCTGTGTGCTAATCCTACGTCATAGATACATTTAGCTATTTAGTAATAGTAGTGGGCCTTGTCGAGTTAAAATTAACTCAGTCTTTTCCTGCTCTCTCCAGTTTCTTCAACTGAACTAAAAAGTGTGGCCCAGGACCGTATGTTGTCCGGGCAAAAATAGTTACAAGTTACGCCACTGTCGCGACCGTCTCTCCATTCTCCAAGTTGTCGCCTTGCGCAAGTCTCTGGGCTTTCTACAAGGACCTCCGACCTCGGTGTAGTCTTTGTCGAATCTGAGCAGGTTCTTTGTTGAACATCGCGCATGGTAAATGTCCACTTGCGTCATATGGTTATGTTCGCTTAACAAGCAAAACGTTCCAGGATTGATCATGAGAAAAGCCAGTACAGTAGCTTGTTAAGGGTTTGAAACTGGTCCCAGCTGAACCTAATCATTGGTCTTAAAATAAAATTATCCTGACTAATGAAACAGCTTATCTTAGTGAGTAACAAATAAAAGGTACAGAGATCATCTCACACCATTCTACATTCTCCTTCACTCATATTTGGGTTAACATACAAATCTAGGTGGCACCACCATCACAATACTTAACAAGTGATTGATAACAAGAGATATACAGGTAAAGAACTAAACCGAATTGGGCTGGAACAAGTGCTAAATTTTCGTTAACAAGCCGTCATTGTTTTATTGTAGTGGACCCTTACCACGAGTGCCAAAGACAAAATTTGCCGTTGTATGTACATATTAGATACGAATAAGGGAATTGGTCTTTGAAAAATACATAGTTTATTATTCGGTTAGCTTAGGAGGTTCTCCGCAATGGCTGTTCGTTCTATTGTATCTACTTTTAAAGTTAGGTCGGCAATCAAGAAGTTTTCTGACTATGACAAACCTCAACAATCTTAGAAAGAAGATTTTACCTCAAATCAACCAACTTCATAATAAAAATATTTATGGGTGTAGTGTGGTGTAAAGTATTAGTGCACTGTGTAAGAAGCTTCTCACGTCTTATTCCAAAAACAATATATATGCGTCAATAATCACTTATATGACCAATCGCATGCTAAAAAGATTAAACTATAATAGTTGAGTCTTTTTACTATGCCCTTTCACAACTGCATTGCAATAATTACAATGCCGTTTACTACAGTTTATATCTAAATTTAAATATTAACTGTAAAACATATCAACTAAGAAAACTTATTATTTTATTCTCTCACTGCGGTTAAGTGTATTTTTAAGTTGTATTTTTGTAAATTAATGCGTTATTATAATATAAACACAAAAAGGTTTTTCCTTTCTAGTAATTTAGTTGTGTTCTACTGAAATGCGTCAAAATGTAACATTGCATGTTCAATTAATGATTAAATGTTTTGGTAATTATATATTTTTGCAATTTTAAAAGCACTATCTCATTATCTGATAGCATAATATTATTTTTTGCCGTTTGGTCGTTTGCTCTTTCAATCTTCAGTCTTTTTTTAATTATCATTGTTATTGTTACTACTTGTTATAATTGTTCCTTTTGTCATATCGTTCTTTTTATTTTTAGACTACCTACGTTATTGTTTTCATTTTATTACTCATTGTTAATCTTTCTATTAGGCTATGTTCTTGCTGTTACCACTTTTGTACCATGTAGCCAACTTGTTAATGCTGTATCCATTTTGTAAACTTGTTAAAAGCGTTGGTAAATAATTAAATAAATAGTTAAAGGTTGTATACTGTATACTCGTACATACTGTACTCCAAGCAATGTTAACAAAATAGTATACTAGATCGCCAAATCGTATTGTACAACAATAACAATACTGGTGTTTCTTATTGGTTTTCTCTAAGTTCCGAGTTAAATTTACCGTTCCTAAATAATATATTGACATTCTTGGTAACGACTACCATCGAAACTGTACCCGCCCGTAGTATTCTTGTAAACAAAACAATTACAGGATTCAGCACCTCAAAAGTAAAAGAAAGCTTACAGAAAAAGTTCTTTGTGAATTGCTTACAAATTAAACTACGAGACGGGACTAAATGTTTTATAACTTTGGAAAAAATTGCAACTTTGACGAAGTGCAGATATAGAGCCGTTTGGACTCGGCCAATAAAAAAACTTCAATGTATAATAAAATTGGAATAAACACGGATGAACAGAAATATTCATGATGTCAATTTCATAGTGTCAGTTTCTATGAAAAATGAAACACGATAAATAGATCGATCCTACACCCTCCAATGTGCATGAACACCAATGACACACGGCTAGCTGCTAATTGATTGCCTAATATACTTCGTTTGATGCATCTTTAAATAACTTTAATCGGAAATGTGGGTTTAATCGACATTTGTAAGTAATGAAGGTGACTAATTTCAACCAAAAAAGTAATTTACACTGAATGTGGGTTTATTATTATGGTAAGTATATAAACTTATTGTTTATATACGTAACCTATTGTTTATACACTTATTGTTTTATATTTATATATTGGTTAACCCTACATCACTATTCTGTAAATCTGTACAATATATTAAACACCACAGCAAAGCACGTTTGGAACAGACAGCACTTTATAAAGCTTAACAAAACCGTCAAACAATAAATTACACAAATGTTTTAAAATGTGCACATACCTTTGAGAGTATCCGAGAGTCGCATATTGCAGAGTATCCAGCATGGGATACTTGTATCACTGAGTCACTATAGCAACGGTCACACCACACTTCACCACTGGCCGTCGAGACTGGGTCTGACGGAGCGAGCGAGGAAAGTGAAATACAAGACAACACAGAACACTGAACACTCTCTCTCCCAGACTCAGACAGGCGGAGGCAAGGCCGTCCAAGGACGAAGGGTTAGAACCAGTTCCTGGGGATGACCTCTCATCTCACGTAGGTAAACAATTGACAAGATGACTTTACAAACGAATCAATACCTTTGACCGTGGATACTGGGTCAACCTTAGACATCTCCTAGTAAAAGTTGTAAAAAGTACGACAATTAATTGTCTTATGAAATTAAATGAAAAATTATATTTTATCAGGCAATGTTAGGGCCACATGACCCTTTTATGGTGACAATCAACAATCATATGTATGTAATTGTTAATATGTATTACAATATGATGGCTTAACAAAGATCTGACAAAGAAACTATCAACACCATGGATTCTGGATCAACCTTTATGTACAAATCTCCAATTAAATTCCATGTTTTTGGCCCCTAGATTACTATAAATGATTATATTGTGTACCTCGTCAAGTAATCCAAATTTTGATGATATGATATGAGGTACATTTTTCAACGTTATTACAACATCAGCAGGGTACACATAACATTAAAGACATTACTGCCACACGCACAAAATAAATAGATAACACGAACGAACATTTTGATAGGCCTATCATGACGCGGACGGTCCCGGCGCAGGTAGTAGACTGCAGTGTCAGACCAAGGCCCCACTATACAGTATTTTTTTAAATTTTAAAAATGAACTTATAATACATAAAATAATAACATCTTACCACGCATTGGAAAATTTAAATTTTCTCAGAGTACATTAAAAACAGTTGACGATTTCTTCTTCGTATATTCTTCCCCACCCTTGATTAACTTGTGTAAACGTTAGATTTCTTTGCATCTAAGTCATAAGCTGTTGTAGTCTTGAGAAGGAACTTTTCATCTTAAAAACTACATAAACATCTAGCATACTTGCTAGTTTCATACCCATGACGTTTCATTGTGTCCGATATTTCCGGTATTTCATTGTGCTATATCATTGGTTGGCTTATGTCAAACACCATTTAAGTCTCCTTTGTAAACTTGAGAAGCAAAGGCTTGGAAGGTAAGAGCTGTACAGTAGGCAATTATTGACCTTTCTCCGCACTGTGTTGACTAGGGAAGATGAATGGGTCGCAATCATAATGTTAGTTATACCTAGTATTATATTGATTAACACTTATTGATTGACGAATCTAATGTATACGTTTTAAAGTAAATATTAATTATTACTACCTGTATAAGACTGTAGAGCAAGCTGGCCTAATGGCAGAGTGCGAGGCTTTCATCCTCGAGGTACTCGGTCCAAATCCCGCCAACCATCAATCGCTTTAGCTATGCAATATTGCCGTGACCCTCTGGGCCTAGCCTGAAGTAATTATCTTGTCCCGGGCTAGAGTAGTATAAGAAGGCAGAACATACAACAATAAAAATCAAAATAAAAACCTGGATAAGATTCAATTGAATGTGCTAAGTTAAAAGCGTGCATCTTCCTAACTTATTCCATAACTGGTTGGTTGGAATAACTTCTAGAGCTTAAAAAATATAATTTAAGCTTTATAAATTAGCTTTTGTTTGTAAACACAACAGAAGATTAATATTCAATCTTTGTCCCACCCTAAGCTCCAAGATACGAAGTGAAGGAGAAATCTTGTGAGAGGCAATATATCATGTTTCATCTGATGGCTGGATAGTGGATACGCGTTCAAGCAAAACTACGCTGTTGTTAGTGTTAGTTTTTGAATCCGGTTAGAATATGGACCCCGGGCATTCGAACGTCCTCCTTGTGCACTTTTACTTCTGACGCCAGCTCAGACTCCGGGGCTGCACATGGCTGCCGTGGTGACCATGATAATTACCATTACAGTGACTACAGTGCACTGGCAGCTAGAAATGAATCTCTACTTCAGATTATAGCCAAGTTGCAAGGGGACTTCTCATCCTATTGTGGAATCTGAAGCTTCTTGTGACGTGTACAACAACTAAATTTAAGTGTGTCGTTTTTGCCTGTTTAGTGATTTCTGTAGTAGTGACTTTGATGGTAGTTATAATACTGTAATGTAAATACCTGATTTTGATGGGTGGATTCAGAGAGAGTATAGTGCTCACCCACTATGCATAAGTTAACTAGTTCGATCCTGCGAACTGCAAGACCTTATTTTTAATAATTCAATACTGGACCCAGATCTTTTAATTCACCCAATTTTTAATACTCAAGCAAAGAACCATTTGTTCTTAGATGGTAACAAAGATGTAATCTCTTTCTTTTAACAGACATCCTTCACTCATCTTCGCCTTCAAATATGCACCTTGGTGTGCTGTTGTAGTGTAACTTCAAATATAATTTATCTATTGACTAACGCTTTTACTACTTAGTATTTTGCCTCGGCAGCTACAAATCTAGCATAGTAAACATTAAATCAAAATGTATAGCTATTAATATACTTAAAGTAGACTTAAAATCGATACTGAAAGTAGACTTCTCGGTCTTTTTTAAGTCCCTGCATATTTTAGGTTGATGCCCGATACGCTTGCATGAGTCAATCTAAGCCAAAGGGTTTCCCTATACATATACATGTGTATACACTGCAGAGCATTAAAATGGAAAGATGAGCCTGCTGGAATGTGTTGTTCTGGTGGAAAATGTTCTTTACCTGTTTTAGAAAAGCCGATACAGCTATGAAAGAACTATACTTGGAGAAACTGAAGAGTCGTGGCATTTTCAGTTTCAAGATATTATCTTTATATTATGCTGTAAGATTTTTTAGTCGGAGATGAAAAAAATATTTTCATTTAGTTTTAAATCGTAATTTAATAGCTGTAGAATTTTTAATCATAACATATTTTTTTAGACTGTGAGTGACGCAATGGATAATGATAATATTTTATTTTTGTGATCGTTGGCGATGCCACCAGGGATAATGATTGTAATACTCCGTTTATTTCTTATGCTGTATAATATTTATGGCTAGAACTTCGCAGGCGAAGCCGTGGGTACAAGCTAATTGGCTATAATTCTAGAGGACAAAAAGTAGGGTTACAAATTATATATTTTTAATTTGGTCATAGTAATTTTTAAGTTAAATAATAAAGTAACTTGTGAATAAAGAGGATACATCAATGCACGCTAGAGTACCTGGATTATAAACTTTCCTTAAATTGTCTTGAGATTATCAATAGCGATTTGATTAAAGAAGAAGATCAATTTGACAGGTGTTTCTGAAAATCCGCTCATTATCTGTTGTCCGGACTATATAGTATATTTCACTACTAAAAATTCTCATTTAAAACAATATCTCACCCCGAAATGGGACTTTCGTGACGAGTATTGAACTATACTTTTTATCACGATAAAAAAAAATACTTCATCAAACTTAAAAAAAAAATCTGATATTTCGTAATCTATTAATTTTTTTTTAAACTAAACAAACTCAATACGGCTGTACAATCAGTTTCGAATTCAGCGGATTTAAAGTAAACTCTGTTAATAAAAACTATTTGTGTCGAAATCGAAGCAACGCGATCATCCCTGGTGATAACCAGGACTACTGTACAAACATAGATGATAACAGCACAATCGGTTGGTAGATGATACAACGGTCATGATCATTTTCACGATGGCAATAAACGTGCTACATTAGCGTCAAACAATTTTTTATTTTTTAAACTCGGAAAAAAAACAAATTGGGTCTTGAACATTACTATTAAGATTCCATTGCGTTTTCCATGTAACTACTGTAATCGGGATTGGAGGTCCTGTAAATCCTGTCTCGTATTTCTTCGTTGTTGTCCCATGTTGTCGTATTTTGCTCGTTATTTAATCATGTTTGGTATTTTAATTGTTATTTCTGCATCTAGTGTCAAATCTTAAACGTTCATAATTGTACGTAGATAGGAAGCTGTCATAGTTTTTTTAGCCATTAGAAAATTAAATATTCATTAAAAAAGAAAATAATTTGTCCGGTCACATGTATGTAGTTAGTGTACGGTAAGTTGGTTTGGTAAGAAGGCTCAAGCGTTGAATTTGTTTTTGGTTGTAAAAATATGTTAACCCAGACCAAATCAGACCTGAAGTAGATTTGTTTAAATTGTTACCACTTAGTGAATGCTTTGGCTTTTAAGATTACCAACAGTTGTATACTGCAACCCTGCTGTGAGACTGGAGTTTACCGCTCGATTACATCGGAAGATGACAATGTTTGAGGGAAAGGCGTAGGCGGCATGTTGACTCTACAAGCGTGTCGAGGCCAGGGTTTTGCTTTTCTGGGTCACTTGTCTTACATTAATTGAATTAACACCGATAACGTCACTTTCCCCTTTCCCAGATCCGATGTTTGCTCCGACTTGACGACCCATGACCATGTGTAGGTGCGTAGAGGTGGTATAGTAGACACCGCCGCGTGTATAGCTATAGCTCTCTACAGACCGTTCATACGTTGTACGGAATGTTTGCTGGTAATTAGAATGTCACGATTGTAGACTGAATTCGAACATTATAAGCCCTCATCATTCAATCCAATTGCCCTCTCCATTTTAACTTATCGCATCGCGCGGACAGGACGACAAACTCGAAGATCGACAAAATTTAATATTAATTTGCGTTAGATCTGGGAACATTATGACTATTATGAATCACATTATTATGAATATCGTGACTACGAAGTTTAACATCATAATAGTGGTTCAAGGTACAAAAAAGTATATAACACATCAAGTCAATCAATATTAAATCAAATTGAGAGAAAAAGATCTAATAGACTCAAAAGTGCACAAAAACTGTGTTTTTAGACCTTAAATTTACCCCCCAGGTGGGGGCATGAAATGTGAGTCTTGAACACTTGCAAGTTTTTTCCTTAGGCCGGCCCTGCTTCGATGTACTTAATCGTTTGTCTTTTTAAGCTCTCAAGTCTCGTTAAACTAAGGTTATTTAGTTATCATCGGGGGAAAAACAAACTGTTTCGACCATTAAAGGTAT